GATACAGACCCAGGGCGAATCCCTGGTTGGTTTTGACCCCCAGGATGAATTTGGGATACAGACCCAGGGCGAATCCCTGGTTGGTTTTGACCCCCGTGATGCAGCATCCCAGGCTGGTTGTGGGATACAGATACTGGACGAATGCCTGGTTGGGTTTGACCCACAGAATGCATTATCCCAGGCTGATGTTGGGATACAGGCCCTGGGCGAATCCCTGGCTGGTTTTGACCCACAGAATGCGTCATCCCAGGCTGATTTGGGGATACAGACCCTGGACGAATCCCAGGCTGGTTGTGGGATGCAGACCCTGGGCGAATCCCTGGTTGGTTTTGACCCCCAGCATGCATCATCCCAGGCTGGTTTTGGGTTCCAGACCCTGGGCGAATCCCAGGCTGGTTTTGGGATACAGACCCTGGACGCAGGTGCCCTGGCTGGCTCTGCCCCCCGTGATGCCCCAAACCGGGATGGTTTTGGGATACAAGCACTGGGTGAAGAAACTCTGGCTGGCTCTGCCCCCCAGGCTGGGGGGGCTGCACTGCTGGGTGGAAGAAGCTTCCCTGGACTGGGTTGACAGGATGAACCCCAGCAGGCTGGGACAGAAGCCCTGAGTGGGCTGGGTTGGAATGGTGGTGGATCCCGGGAAGCACTGGGCTGGGCTGGTACTGTCCCACGGCGTGAACCTGCTCCACGAGATCTTGGGCTGAGAAGTGGGATCCCGTGAGGGTGAGGGAGGACCCCGAGACCTGGTGCAGGCCAGTGTGGGAGAACAGCGTTGGGCTGTCCCGGCTCGTCCCCTGGGTTCCATCTGTGAGCGCCTCAGAGCCACCTGGCTTGGGGCAGGTCATGTTGACCTCGTAGGAGGTGATGGGGATCCCGCTGGACAGCAGCTCCTCCAGCTGCACCCGCAGGACGTAGCGGTTCTCCTGAGGGGAACACGAGGGACGGTCACCCCCATCCTGCTGGAGGGGACCGTGGAGGGGACAGGAGCGTCACCTTGAACAGGACGTGGCAGCCCTTGTAGCCAGAGGAGAAGATGACAGAGCCGTCCTCCCTGGAATTCAGCCAGTGGAGGCAGATGGAGCAGTTGGCCACGTCAAAGCGGGAGCCAAACTCGTCTGGAGGGACACCATGGATACAGGGATGTGACACATCCATGTGTGTGGAAACCCCCCGGGCAGCAGCACCAGCTCATCCAAGCCCTTGGGCTCATCCCATTGGGACACCATCACCACAGAACACTCCAGGGCTGAGGGGAGTCCTAGAGAAATCCAACACCCAAGGGAATCCAGGGAGGCCCCCACTCACCCAGAACCTTGAAGCGGACGGTGCGGCCATGGGGCGGGAAGACCAGGAGCTGCATTCCCAACTCTCCGCAGTCGTGGCGGTACTGCAGCCGTGCCACAGTGGCTCTGGGCCACGGGGACAGGAGGAAGAGGAGCAGGAGGAAGGAGCAGCTCCGTCCCATGGCTGCGACACGGACGGAGCACAGGGCTCTGCGGTGTGGATTTATATCCGGATGGCTGGGATGTGGGGGGGGGGATCAGGATCAGCTGATCCCATGGGATGAGCTCTGCCCAGGGCTCCTCGCTCCCCTGCCACCAGTGACCTCAGTGCCCCAGCCCTGTGGTCACCTCCTGTGGCTGTGTCACGGTGACCAGGGACTAACCGAGCTTATCCCACACTTGGAGGCTGTCCCAGAGAACAGGGAATGGAACTGGTTCCAGGCGGGATGCCCAGCTGGATCAAGTTATCCAGGAGAAAGGGAGAAGGCTGGTGTGTGCCCACCTCCCCAGAGCTAGTGGGGACAGCAGCAACATCTGGACATGCCACTCCTAGAATAGCCACGGGACCAGGGGACACAGTGGCACGGTCCCAGTGACGCCTGAGAGATTGGAAATCAGCCAGTTACCCCAAATCCCTGCTGTGCCCTGTTTGTGCCCTGCTGGCAGTGCCACAGGGAATCCAAAGTCCTCCCTGTGCATTCCCTGTGCCTACCTTTCCCCAAGTTTCATTTCTGAGATTTATCTTTACTGCAGATTACACCGCATCACCCCTTCCCGGAGTGACAGTCACTACCACTCCCTGTCCCATGCCCTGGGTGTGGGAACTGGGTCACATCAGCTCCCAGGAGCACAGGGATCCCGGCCAGAGGAGCCAGGGGCTGGATGTGATTCCCTCAAACCTCCTCTGGAAGTGGGGGCAGCTGCAGAGAGAGCAGTGTGGTCCCAGAGCCATGGCTGGGCTGATATATGGCCAATATATGTTCTATATATGCCCCAAATATGTCTTGTATCTCTATCTCTCTATCTATCTATCTGTCTATCTATCTATCTATATGTATACACACACACACACACACACATATATATATATAAAAGATATATAGGTCTAGTATCTATTTTATAGATGTGCTGTATATGTCAAATATATGTCTGGGCTGTCTGTTCTACATGTTCCATATGTATCCAATATATATCCTGTATATATGTCCAATATACAGCTAATATATATCCAATATATCTATCCCATATGTCCAATATACATCCTATATATATATCTGATGTATATCCCATATGTATCCAACATATATCTCACGTATCTCCCAAATATCTCCAACCAATCTCCCCAATCTGTGTCCAACCTTTGTCCCACACATCATCCCCCAGGAGCACAGGCAGCAGCCACCAGTGGAGACACTTTATTCCCCAACAGTGACAATCCCACCACCCCTTCTCCCCACCCCTCACAGCTTCATGGCAGCAACCGAGCCCAGATGGAGCTCCAAGAACTGCAGGATCTCCTGCCAGGAATGTTCCTGTGCCCGGGCGTGGGCCTGGAGCTCTCCCCCCCAGGCCACGGGTTTGGGGGTGCCGCGGATGGCGGAGTTGCTGCACAGGGGGGACCCGGGGGGCTCGATCAGGTGCCCGGCGCCGGGGTAGGACAGCACCCGGCCGCTCTCCGGCGGCATCCGCGCCAGGGCCAGCTCGGCGAAGAGCTTGCTGTTGAAGCTGCGGTCGGCCTCTCCCACCACAAACAGCACCTTGCCCCGGATCCTCTCCACCGGGATGGCCGAGGCGCGGTGCGCGGCGTCCCGGGGGTCGTCAAAGATGGCCGAGTTGTCCATGGCTCCCACCTCGGTGAACAGGACGCGCTCGGTGTGGTAGGGGATGGCCGGGATGCGCAGCTCCTTGTAGAGCAGCGGGTTTCCGTACAGGAAGCTCGTGCCGTTGATCCACACCGTGGCCGCCACCTGTGGCAGGAAGGTGGCCATGGCCAAGGCCACCTCCGCGCCTTTGGAAACGCCCACCACGCCCAGGCCAGGGCCTCGGACCTGAAGGAAGAGGAAATGGAGCCAGCTGGGATAATATACAGGGATAATACATTTACTGGGACATCCCTGGGGGCCAGGACGAGGGGGATATCCTCATGGGATACCGCCCAGTCCCTGTGACATAACCCCTGGTCACCTGGACATCCCACTCACCAGGATGAGGATGTCCCCAGGACATTCCTGGTGCCCAGGACAATCCCTGGTCACCCGGACGTCCTGCTCACCAGGTTGCCCCCAATCCCCAGTCCATCCTGGCTGACAGGTGCCTTTCTCCACACTCCAGGACTCACCTTGGGATGCCGGAGGAGCAGCTCAGCCGCTTCCTCGAAATATTCCAGGTCCAGCTGGGCCAGGACTCGGGGCAGGTCGTCATAGGCGAAGAAGGCGAGGGCCAGCACGGCAAAGCCCCGGCTGGCCAAGAGCCCTGCCCGGAACTCAATGAGGCCCCCCGCACCCCCAAACAGGTCGATAACTCCGGGGAAGGGGCCCGGACCTGTGGGAAGACAGGGAGAATGCCAGGGATAGGGAGCCACCCATGCTGTCCTGCATCCCAGAGGTTCCATGGCCAGGCATCCCAGAGGGCACAAGGTCCAGTGTCTTGGGTGTCCCAAGATCCTAAGGTTTGATATCTCAAGGATCCTAAGGCTGAACAACCCAGGAATGCCAACCTTGGGCATTCCAGGGGTCCTGAGGTTTGCTAGTCCAGGGCTTCCAGGACTGGACAACCCAGGAATCTCATGGTTTAGCATCCCAGGGATCCCAGTGTTGTTTCCCAGGGGTCCCAGTGTTTGGCATCTCCAGAATCCCAAGGCTCAGTATCAGTACCCAGAGCTCCCAAGGTCCAGTATCCCAAGGGAATACTGGTTGGGTATCCCAGGGGTCCTAAGACTGGGCACCAAAGGGCTTCCAAGAACACACACCCTGCCAGTCCCTGGGTTTGATATCCCAAATTCCCCGCTGCCCAGTGCTCACCAGGAGGCAGGAACAGGGCGCCACGGACCCTTCCCTCACGGATGGGCACCCGCTGCACTCCGGGGCCCACGTACCAGCGCTCGGCCTCACAGGATGCCAGCGGCTGCTCCCGCAGATCCGTGCCCAGGCTGAGCCCGTCCCACACCTCCAGCCGCACGCGGAAGGGGCTGCCGGCCACATCCCGCTTCACCAGCCGCCGGAACAGCGTGTCGGGCTGCAGGAACCACAGGAGCCCCATGGGCCAGAGCCCGGAGTAGCTGCCCCCCAGGGCGGCGTGGAGCCCGGGATCCACCTCTCCCGCTCCATCGGCGCGGAAAAAGGCACGGGATTGGAAGCACTCGCCCTGCTCATCCTTCAGCCAGGCCCGGAGCGTGACCAGCTGGGATGGGGACAGTCCCCGCACACGGATCTGCACGGGCCGGTCGGCCAGCGAGGACTGCGGCGTCACCGTCACCTCCACCATGGTGCACCTGGGAATGGGAATCACCCCGAGTGTCCCACAGGGATTGCCATGCCCAGGAGGGGAATGGTGGCAGGGGCCTGTCCCCAGGGATCCTCACAGGAGAACCCCAGGTTGGGGTTTGTGATCCAGATAGTTCTGCTAGCATCCTGCTATCCCATATACCCCCATCCCATCGTGGTCCCTGTCCCTTCTGTCCTGGTCCTTGTCCCCTCCTTCCCTGGCTCCCACCTTCCATGATTCCCCTCCTCTGCTTCCCTGTCCCCATCCCCTCCCTTCCTCACCCCCTCCCCACCCTCTGATCCCAACCCCTGCTCCGAAACTCACCCGGCAGCCGGGACACCCCTTTTCCCTGTGTCTCCCAGCCCCGCCATTCCCAGCCCCCACTGTCCCCCCTCCTTATCCTCCTCCTGCCCACCCTGGAGCCGGAGCAGGGTGGGGATCCAGGGGCTCGGAGCCCCCCGGTGCTGTGTACACCCCGCTCCCGTCCTGTGCAGCACGGCAGGCTGGGAACTGGGATGTTGGCCCCGGTCCAGCCCTGGGAGGAGACTCGTGGTTCTCGTGGTCCTCCCACACCCGTGACAGCAGGAAATCGGCCCCTAAGGGCCCGAGCTTCCCCTTCTCTTACCCCGCTGGGCACAGCCTGGGCCGTGGGCTCTGCACAGGGAAAGGTTTGAGGATTCCTTGGAAATCATTAACCCGGGAATGGCGAGGGCAGAGCCCTCCTGCCCCATGACCCCGTGCCTGCCTGGCACCGGCCACACCCCGAAATTCCTGTCAGTCCCCATTTTCCCTGTGGCACCTCCCCACTCCTGCACACGGGTGGGACGCACTCCATTTCAATTCAGGCCACCCCCCAAAATTGCCACCCCAGCATGAAGCTCCAAGACCCCATATTCCCATCCCAGGGCTCCATGCTGATTCCTGCAATCCCATTTTCCACCCAGTGCACCCCTTTGTCCCCCCATCCCAGCTCAGAGCCACATCCCTCCCCAGGAATGCAGAAAGGGGTGTCCATGGACCAAGAAAAATCAGGAATGTTAAGAAATCCACGTGGATTTCCAACTTCCAGCCCCTGCTAAATTCCCGGCGTTGCCCCCAGAGAAGGGTGTGTGACACCATGCCCCCTTCCTTGCTGACACGTTCTGGGGCTCATTCCCAACAGGAATTCCCTCCTTGGAGCAAGGAGAACTGCAAGAAACGAGGGGCCATGGCACACTCAAATCCTAGGAATGCCTTAGGGAAGGGCCCCAGCAGGAGCCCTCAATCCCCAGAGCCACTGGAGGCGAATCTGTCTCAGTTCCTTTTCATTTTTATAAGAACAAGGCAAATATGGGAAAGCAAAGTTCTGTTCCAGCTTCCAGCACCGCCCGCATCCTGATTCCACAGGGGGAATCCCACAGCTGGTGCCTGTGGAAAGCACCCCCCCAGCTCTGTCCCGTCGTTTGTCCAACACTGAGGGTCCTGGCAGCAATTCCAGCCTGGCAAGCTGAGGAGAAACCCCTGGGGAGGAGCAGGATCCCAAATCCTGCCTCATTCCGTGGCCGTGCTGCGCCTCACGGGCGTCTTCTGGAGCAGCGCCAGTGTGTCCCGCTTCTCCACCCGCCTCAGCTGCTTCTTCCTGGCCCTCTTCAGCTTCAGGGGGTTCCGGATCTGGGAAACGGGAAAGGAGAGGAGATCCCATGGAATCACAGGATGCTGGTATGGTTTGGATTGGAAGGGACCCTAGGGATGATCCAGCTCCCCGCCTGGCCGTGGGCAGGGACACTTTCCAGTGGTGCAGGGGGCTCCAAGCCCTGTCCTGGAGCACTTCCAGGAATGGAGCAGAGTGTGGGAATGAGGCAGGATGGGCATGGAGGGCTCCCAGCCTCCCAGCACCTTCAGGATCTAGGGAGGGATTTATCCCAAAACTAACTCCATCCTCACCCACAGGTGAGGTCTTTGCCCCATCCACCCCAAGCTCCCAGGTCTCTTCCCAATGGAAAAGCCACGAATTCCCCACATGGATCCCCACCAGTGCAGCATTTTCCTCACTCCATCACCCCATTATCCCTGAGTTCTGGTGCTCCCCAGCTCTCCCCAGGGAGAACACAGGGAAACACACTTCCAGCATGCCTGGCTTTACTGGGACTCTCCCAGTCCACCCAGGCTCCTCCACAGACAAAGACAGGGAGAGGAACTGGAGCAAACTGGAGGCTGATCCATGGGAGCTGGAGGCTGTGGGGTGCTCCAGGGCTGTTCCCAGCTGGCCCAGGGGACTCACCACTTGGACAATCTCGGCTTTCCGCTCGTTTTCCAGGCGCCGCTTCAGGTTCTCCTCCCGCCGCCGCTTCTTTTCCTGTGGGAGCAGCACCACAACATTCCCTGAGCATCCCTTCCCCTGGGATTAAACCCAAAGCCCAGCCAAGTGTGAAATCTGTCATTCCAGCAGCTTTTCCACCTCGGGTGAGGCTGGAATTGACCTGGGGGTTTATTCCGAGTCAGTGACTTGGGGCATGTGACCACCAGTCACATTTGGCACCAGGACAGGGAATTCTCCATCCCTTTCCCTGGGCTCTGCCACAGCACTGAGGCCCGGGAAAAGGGCAGAGAATGGGATTGTGCTTGGGAAAGATGGGAATTTTGAGCTCCCGAGCCCCATTACCTCCTTCTCCCTCTGCTTGGCTTCCTCCAGCTGCCGTGCCAGATCCCGGACCAGCTTCCTCTCCTGCCTCTCCTTCATTTTCCGTGCCCAGGAGCTGCGGAGCGCCTTGTCCTGGATCATGTGGGAGAACCTGCGCGGGCACACGGGAGGCGCTGGATCCCCAAACAGCCCGGGATGCAGCTCCTCTCCAGAGTTCCATGAACCTCCGCCAAGCGCGGAGCATCCCACGGCATCCTCAGCATCCCCTCCAAGTCATCCCAGCCACCTCTGGATCCTTCCTAAAGCCCATGGATACCTCCGGAACCCCCTCACAAGGCCCAAACAACCCTGTCCCCCTCAAAATTCCCCCAGACCACATGACCCCCCCAAAGAGCCCTTCTGGAGCCCAGAGTCCCCCAAGAACTGCCCCTCATTCCCCGCCTCCCTTCCCACCTCTTCTTCCCGGGATCCTTCCACACGCGTCCCGACTTGGGCTTGCCCCGGGGGATGGTGATCACCGCCTCCTGCCGCTTCTTGCCGCCTTTCCGCCGCCGCCGAGCCGCGGTCGGAGCCGGAGCCGCGGCGGCCCCGCTGGGCCCCTCGGGGGTCGCTCCCGGTGCCGGGGTCCCCCCGTTCTCCCCCTCCATGATCCACGCGGCCCCGCGGCGTCGCGGAGATGACGTCAGAGCGGCGATCGCCGGAGGAGCGCGAAGCCAGAGCGCCTCCCCGGCGGCCATCTTTATATTGGGCAACATCCTCCGCCCACGGCGGCGGCCGCCATCTTTGTGTCAGGCGTGGCCGCCATGTTTGTATTGGGCAGCACCCTCCGTGCACACTGCGGTGGCCGCCATCTTTGTACGGGGTACGGCCGCCCTCTTTGTGCCGGGCAGCTCCGCCCAGCACCGTGGGCGCCGGTACCGGGACCCCCCCCGAACTGCCCCAAACACACTCAGGGCGAGCCCCCCCGCACCCCGAGTAACCCCCGGAGACACGGGCGGGCCGGGCTGAGGGAAAGGCCTTTATTGGGGAACGAACACGCTGAGGGCATCCCAGGGGGCTCCACGTGCGGGGCTGGGCCGTGGCTACAGCGCCTGGGGAATCAAACACAGGGAAATCCAGGGAAATGTCCGGGAGGGACACGGGAGGAAAGGGTGGATCAGCATTCCCGGGATTTGCAGGATTGCCGCCTCCCTCACCAGCTGGGTGTACGTGTGCTCCCACACCGTGTCGTATCCGAACGCCAGAACCGCCACGGCCACGCAGAATTCCAGGAGGCCGAGCAGCACCAGGATGGAATCCAGGCCGTTGCTCAGCTTCTGCCAGGAGGAGGAGAACGGGAGTGTGAAAAATGCGTGTTTTGTGATTGGCTTTTCGCAGATAATAAAATTAATATTATATGTGTTGTGTTAGAAAGTTATGCTATAATAATTTTCTTAACTAGTGTGTTAAATATATGCAAAAAACCGCCAATCACTTGTTTTTAAAATTTTAAAAGTTTAATAGTAATAAAATGATTATAAAAATAGTAATACAATTAGAGTAATAATCATTTGGACAATTTGAATTAGGACAATATGAGACAATGAAAACAAAGAGTTATGGACGTCCGGGTATCTCTTTCTGGGCAGCATAAGCCCGAAAAAGGACCCACGTTAACAGAGGATTAACCGTTCAAAACAATAACCTGTTGTATATTCATGCACCTCATACATGATGCACAACTTCCATGCAAACACAGGATTCTGTCTGGTCATCGTCAACTTCTTCCTCATAATCATGATGGCGTCATCCTGCCTGAGCGAGGCAGGGAGAAGTTTGTTTCTCCTGATAATGGAGCAATAAATTCTCTTTCTCTGAAAGATTTCGGTGTCCCGTGACTGCTATCTCAGTGTGAGTCCTTTCTTTAGAAAAAGAAGTATCTTACGTAGCACAGTTTCTATTTTAACATTATGTTGTAACCTAAAACTATATGTGAAAAATGCATATTTTATTATGGGCTTTTTGCAAATATTAAAATAAATATTATATGTGTTGTGTTAGAAAGTAATGCTGTATTAATTCTCTTAAGTAATGTGGTAAATATAGTTTTAGGTTATAACATAATGTTAAAATAGAAACTGTGCTATGTAAGATACTTTTTTAAAAAGAGAGGATTGAGGTACTTGCACCGACATAGCAGCCACAGGACACCTAAATCTTTCAGAGAAAGAGAATTTATTGCTCTCTTATCAGGAGAAACAAACTTCCTGCCTCGCTCAGCTGTCAGGATTAAGAGAAAGAAGTTGACAGTGACCAGACAGAATCCTTTGTTTGAATGGAATTTATGCATCATATATGAGATGTGTGAATATGCAACAGGCTATTGCTTTTAAGGGTTAATCCTCTGTTAATGGGTGTCCCTTTTTGGGCTTATTTTGCCTGACTGTCCATAACTCTCTGTTTTTATTTTTATTATCCTAATCCCAATTGTCCAAATTTTTATTACTGTAGTTATATGACTATTTTTTTAACCATTTTATTACTATTAAACCTTTAAAATTCTCAAAACAAGCGACTGGTGTTTTTCATGGGAACATCCCAGGATCCACCACCCAAACAGGACCTGGATCCTTGAGCACCCCACCCAGACTGGGATTTCCCTGCAATCCCGGTGTCCTACCTTGCTCTCCATGTGGAGGCACCATTCCGGGCGGGTCCGGAAGGGCTCGGGTTTCCCGCAGCCGGGTGTGATCTGGGTGATGGCTGTGCCGTGGATCCCGATGGCCACCAGCGTGCCCAGGATAACGCCCACACTGAGCACGCAGCAGGCCTTGACCTGCGGGGAGCACCCGGTGACACGGGCCCCGGGAAGGGCTGCTTCCCACCGGGATCATCCAACCGCCAGCACAGATCTCCTGGAGAAGCCACCCAGTCCTGTCCCCCTCCTCCCACAGCGATTCCAAAGCCATGAGGGTCTCCTGAACCTTTTATCCCCCTCCTCCCACAGCAATTCCAAAGCCATGAGGGTCTCCTGGACCTTTCAATCCCCTCACACCACAGCGATTCCAAAGACCATGAGGGTCTCCTTGGACCTTTTATCCCTGGAATCCCACAGTGATTCCAAAGACCATGAGGCCTCTTTGGACCTTTTATCCTCCTCATCCCAACGTGATTCCAAAGCCATGAGGGCCTCCTTGGACCTTTTATCCTCCTCATCCCACAGTGATTCCAAAGCCATGAGGGCCCCTGAACCTTTCATCCCCCCCACAATGATCCTGACCCCGATCCTAGCTCTGTGTGAGAGATCTGGGCACTTCCCAAGGGGGAGACTGGCCTGTGGATCCTTTGGGATGAATCCAGGCTGTGGAAGGGTCCTGGCAGGTGCTGGAAAGGACATAAGGAATGGGAGGACACCTTGTCCCTCCCAACCTGGATCTTACCAGCGCAGGGCTGTCTCTCCTTTCACTTTCCACCAGCAACGAGCCCGAGACCAGGAGCTACTTGGAAAAGAGTGGGAATTGGTGTCAGCAGCAAGGCACCCTTCCCTGGCACCCTTCCTGGTGGGAACTGGGGTTCAGGGATGCACAAACACCCCAGAATGTGGGGGAAAATGGTTATTGGATATTGTCCCCAGTTCACCAGGATTCCCTGAGATTCCCATGTCCTTGTCCCAACTTACCAGGATCCCCAACCAGAAGAGGACCCCGCTGGCCACAGGGAGGGAAGGGTTCCTGTGCTCCGACAGTGTCAGGATGATCCCAAAGCAGATGTGGGCAATTCCAGTGAAGATGTGGATGGTCTGGGGAAGGATGACGGAGATGGATCCCGATCCCGTTACTGTGAGGCACATCCCAGCCCCCATGTCACAGTGCCAGAAAGGGACTGGGAGAGGCACCTGTCCCAACATCCCCTCCACCCAGCCAGGGAGAACATCCAGCAGGACAATCCCTGCGGATCCTCAGTCCTGCTGGGCCCCTGGAAGGCCGTGTCTCACCCCCAACACCTTGGGATGAGCCCTGCGGAAGCCTTGTGTTTGGAATGAGGTCCTGGCAGGTGCCCGGGAGCCTGAGGCCAGCTGGGCTGCCCGGGGATCCGTGGCCGGGATCACCTCCGTGATGATCCTCACGCTGCCCGCGTCCGTCACCGTGGTGGCCGCCATGGCCTGGGAACCAGCCCAGGGGGCTGCAGGAACTCCCAGGTGCCTTCCTCCTCCTTTTCCTCCTCACCGTGGTCCCTCTGCTGCCCAAAATCCCCGGGAGGTGCCGGCCAGGCAGGGACACGCTCCCGCTGCCCTTTGCTCCCTGCGGGAAGCTCGCTCAGGGAATTCTCGTCAGGCCCCTCTTGCTCAACGAGGCAGCTTTGCCAGCAGAGGCTCCCAAAATCCTGCACAGGAAGAGGGAGGGAGGGACAGGGAAGGGTTGGATACTTTTCCCTCAGGATGCTCCAAGACCCCTTTTCCATACCAAATTGTGGATGTTTTGCTTGAGAATTGCTCCTGCAATTAGCTTGGTACCTAACGAGGTGTTGGATAACCTAACCCTGCCACTTCCTAGGAAAATTCACATTGAGACAGGGAACTTTATAAACCCTGTTGTAAAGGAAGCTTTTTTATTGCCTTTTTTGGGAATTCTCCCTCCTCCATCCCAGTGGGTTTGTCCCCAGTGAGGACATGCAGGAGGGATTCAGGGATCTCTGTCCATCTCCATTGGGAGTCAGAGGGAAAGGAGATGCTGTTATTTGTGATGGGAAATGGGAGCTCAGGCTGGGAATGGAGCCACCACACACGGTGAGGGGATCCCGAGGGATTCAGAGGCCCCTTCCTGCCTCCATCCTTTCCTCCTCCCAGAAAACAGCCATGTCCTTTTCTCCAGGAGCATTGGGATACCCCATGCCGACCTGGAGGACCCTCCGGGTTTCCTGGATGTCTGATGTGTGCAGGGTAGGGATTTCTTGGTGGAACGGGATTTTTTAGGTCCAGGATTCTGGCATCACCCCAACACCTCTCTCTCTGCCTGGGAAAGGACAGGACCCTCCAGCTGACGATTTCAGGAGCAGGTGGAGCAACTTCTGGAAGTTTTTTCCTTCTCTCTGGCTCTAGAGGGAGCTGAGAGGCCGCGTTTGGAATCACTGCGCTTCCAGAGCTCAGGAGCGGCTTCCAGCCTTGGAGCCGGCTTAGAACAACCTGGGCTATGAGAGGTGTCCCTGCCCATGGCAGAGGGGTGGAACTGGATGATCCTTAAGGTTCCTTCCATCCCAAACCATTCCAGCATTCTGCACCCTCCCCACGCTCCCACACACCAGGGAACGGGACACCCCCTCCAAACTGGCCCAAATCACATCCCAAATAAGAGCTGGAAGAACAGACCTGGAGACCAAAGAGCAGCAGCTCACGCCTCCATCCCAGCTCCAATGGCGTTCCTCCATCCCACCCATGACCTTCCTCCATCCTGCATCCCTGATGGAAGCGTGCACTTGGCCTTGTAAAGGGCTGCATCTGGCAGCACGGCTTTCCAGGAAAAACATGGACATGGATGAGATTCAGCCTCTTCATCACATTCCTGATGCCTCAGAGCCTTTAATTCCTGCTGGTGCCTCATCCCTCTCAACACTCCAATGCTAACAATCCCAGGGATCTCGTTCCAGCCCCAGGAAGGAACACTTGAGCCCCCATGGAAATTCTGGGATCCCCTCTTTAGCCTTTAGGCAGCCAGGGTATCCTCCACCATTATCCACGGCTCACATTCCCAGTCAAAACCACCCTGCATGGTAGATTTCCTCCCAAATCCGCCTTTCCAGATTCCTACAGCATTCCTCAAGTTTCAGCCTTGCAGCCAGTAACAGCCATGACTGCCCTCAGCCCCCTAAACCCCACTTTCCAAGCGGGTGATCCATGGAAAAAGCGCTTTCCCCATTCCTAAATAAACCCAGGGCCAGCTGGGGATGGCAGGAGCCCAAGGTAGGATGTCAGGATTTGTTTTGGAAGCGGATTCCAGAGGAGGTGAAGCTTTGAAGCAGATGCAGGGGAGCAGCAGGGCCGGGTGGTGGAGCTTTCCAACCTTTTCTCTGCAGGAATTTTTGGCTTTGTGGATGTATTAAACACATTCCTTGGATTTTAATGTTCATTTTCCTATTTTCTAGGGCAAGTTTTGGATGGGGGAAGCCTGACTGGATGCTCAGGGGGGATCAACGAGACCCTCCCAAATTCCCTCCCACCAGCACAGGACAAAATTTATGAGCCTGGTGGAACCAAAATTTTTTTCCAACCCCAAAATCCGTGAGGTTTTTTCCAAAGAAAATAGATTACGATGGAGAAAAGCTCTCCAAAGAAACTTGCTGCTTCCTGGGACTAACTTTATATCCCCATAAAAATACCAAAAGTCAACATTTTGCTTTGCTTCCAGGTGTTTCTGCTTCCCCCAGGGCTCTTTCCATACTGATTCCAGAAGGAAAGTCATGTTTTCTGGGAAAGGTTTCAGGGTTTTTTGCTTTAAACATCCCAATGTCCATCCTGGATTAGGGAATCTGGAACAGGGAGCAGGCAGGAGGTTGGGGAGGCATTGCTGCCTGCTGGGGGGATCCATACCTGGCATTTGGGACATGGCGACATCGCTCCCAAACCCTGTCCCAGATGTGTCCATCAACCCCTGCATGTGACGTTCCAGCCTTTGATCCGCTCATTCCCAGGAAAACTCCTGAGCCTGCAGAAAAGTTCCAGAAAACTTCTCCAAGGCTTCACCAGTGTCAGCTTCCACTGGCAGTCCTGGGACCATAAACTTCCAGGGATGGGACCGCCACAGCTCCCCTGGGAAATACATTCCACTACTTTCACAGGGAAGAATTTCTTCCCAATATCCCATCTAAACTGACCCCATGGCAGTGGGAAGACATTCCCCCCCTTGTCCTGGCACTCCAGGCTCTTCTAAAGTCCCTCTCCAGCTCTCTTGGGGCACCTTTAGGTGCTGGAAGAGTTGCCAAGGTCTCCCTGGATCCTTCTCTTCCCAAGGGGAAGAGCCTTTGGGACACGTCACTCCATCTCACAGTTCCCCTTTCCAGCTCCTCCAAGGGTTTTGGTTTTCCTTAGGGATCACCACCAGCAGTGACACAAAACTCTGTGGTGTCCCTGTCACCTGCTATTCTCAGCTCCTGGAAGTCTCCACTCCCCCTGGATCTGCAAATTCCCACCTACAAATAAAAATATATTTGAAACCCCCACATTTCCATAGAACCTTAAACACTTTTTCCAGCATTTTTTGGGAAAGCTACATCTAAACACTGGGATACTCCAGGAAAACAGAGCCTGATGCTGGTGGAAGAGGAGGAAGCCTCTTTCCCAGGAAACCACCACACTGGGAAAACACAGATGGGAGGTGGAATGGCTCCGTGCTGGTCCCGGTGGAGCCAGGAGAGGTCGGGATGCTCCGGAACCGCAGGTGAGCAGCCGGGGCTGTAATGGGCTGTGGCCACGGGCTGAGCACAGGCAGCCTGTTCATCCTGCTCCCCAAATCCCTGGGGCTTTTCCTACTGATCAAGCTCATTATTTTTTCAGAGCCGGGAACAGAAATAACTGACAGGGAGTGAATAATCCATGAGGCTTTGGCTGAGCAGCCAGAGCATTGTCAGGGAGCGTGGAAAGGAGAAGGAAAACACTGAAATCACCCCAAAACCTAAGGGAACGTTCAAGGAGGAGGTCACTGATCCCACTCTGGCGCTGGAGGGGAAGTTTGGGATGGATCCTGTGCCCAGAAATTAAGAGGATCCTCCCCCAGAGCGCTGGGAACTCACCAGGATGTTCCCACCCCTTGGAAAATCAGCACTGGGGTCTCTTTCCTCACCTTCATCCCACCTTTCCATGAACTTGGGATGCTCCTTAGATACCTCGATGCTGCTGGATGCTCATCCCCACCTCATTAAACCCACCAGCATTCCCACAGATGCTGGACAATCAAGGGCGGAGCCATAAATGAGCTTGTCAGGAGCTGACAAACCTGCTCCTGTTCAAAATTATCCCAGAGCCCTGAAAATAAAGAATTTTTTAGGAATTGCCGCACGGCTAAGGGTTGGAAGCACCCCTCAGCCCCACTCCCGCCGCCCAGGATGGTGGGAGCAGGGAGCACACGACACCGGTGTCCCCGTGTCACCTCCCGGAGCAGCTCCAGCCCCGGGGCAGCTTCTCCGGTGGCGGCGGCAGGACCGGGCTGGGATGCGCTGTGCTGGCGTCACCGGCACCGCCGCCGGCTGCTCCAGCCGCGCTAAATATAGCGGGACCGAGCTGGAACGGGGGGTGAGGGGGTCTGGCGAGCAGAATTCCCCCCGGGAGACAAGGTACCCTGGTTTGGAGGGTGGAATTCCAGCAGGAGAGGGGATTAGAGGGGCAGAATTCCCCCAGGAGAGCAGATACTGAGGGGTTTATGGGGACAGAATTCCCTCAGAATCAGGTACTGGGGTTTAGGAGGACGGAATTCTCTCAGGAGAGGGGTTTTGAGGGACAGAATTCCCTCTGGAGAGGGGATTAGAGGGGCAGAATTCCCCCAGGAGAGCAGATACTGAGGGGTTTATGGGGACAGAATTCCCTCAGAATCAGGTACTGGGGTTTAGGAGGACGGAATTCTCTCAGGAGAGGGGTTTTGAGGGGCAGAATTCCCTGAGATGAGCAGGTACTGAGGGATTTATGTGGACAGAACTCCCACAGAATGAGGTACAGGGTTTTAGGAGGATGGAATTCCCCTAGGAGAGGGATTTTGAGGGGCAGAATTCCAGCAGGGGAGGGGCTTTGAGGGGAAGAATCCCCTCAGGTGAGCAGGTACTGAGGGGTTTATGGGGACAGAACTCCCTCAGAATCAGGTACTGGGGTTCAGGACGATGGAATTCTCTCAGGAGAGAGGTTTTGAGGGGCAGAATTCCCTCTGGAGAGGGGATTAGAGGGGCAGAATTCCCCCAGGAGAGGGGTTTTGAGGGGCAGAATTCCCTGAGATGAGCAGGTACTGAGGGATTTATGTGGACAGAACTCCCACAGAATGAGGTACAGGGTTTTAGGAGGATGGAATTCCCCTAGGAGAGGGGTTTTGAGGGGCAGAATTCCCTTGGGAGAGCAGGCACCAGGAATTTAGAGGAGCAAAGCTCCGCTGGGAGCAGATGCCAGTGGTTTAGGGGAGCAGAATT